TGACATCAGCATCAGGTGGAAATACACAGAGGGCAGCAGTGAATGTTTTCTAATCAGCAGTGCTTGATGTTCTTAAAGGAAAATGTAATTTCATATCACTATGAAAGGTAAAATATGCAGCTTGGTAACATTTCCTTTCAGCACGTTTTGACACATCAGTGTGGATTTTCCTTCTGGTACTTGAATACTTGAAAAGCTGTTTTTCTAACCTCTTTGACAGACGTCGTGTTGAAGCCATGACAGCTTCGTTTTTTACTCTGTACATAAATGCTTACATTTGTATGAAATGTTTAACCAGGATAGAAAAAAGTGCTATTTGTGCATAAAACAGAAATTCATTGTATTATTGTACATTATTGTCAATTATTATGTCAGATCTTTGGATTGTGTCATTCAAAACCCAGAAAACACAATTTCACACAATGACAGAATTTTTGTTTTTATTTGTTGTAAATTTAGGCAGAAGATGAGAGAAAGTATCATTTACAGAATGACATGAAATGTTCTTCCTGATTTCAAGCAGTTCAGATTTGGATAACTTAACAAAGGATCGGGTTTTCAGAAGTATTATTATTATTTGTGTTTTGTCTATTTAATAGATGCTGATATATACAAGTTGTTACACAAAGGAGACACAGTGTCATTAACACATGTTTTCAAAAAGTAATGTTAAAGTGAAATGAAGATATATTTTTGCATTGATGGCTGTTTTATAAATGATTGTTTACATTCCTAAAAAGCTTAATAACCACTCTCCTGGTGTACTGCAGGCTATAGATAAACTGAACATAATTGTAGACAATACAATACACGCAATAATACACGCTAATTCTGTTAAATGTGTTTAACATGTTCACTTACAGTTTTCACTTTAATCCTTAAATAGCTTGATTTTGCATAACTAAACATTCCAACATGTGTCTAATAGACTCACATTTGCTGAAGCATTGTTTAAAAATGTAAGTATTGATGGGAGCCTAGAGCCTACACCTCAGAGTGTATCATTCCTCTTATTTGACCAGTGTTAAGGTTTAGGTAGATCAATCAGGTTCATTTTCTCTATCCTCAAATGTTAAATTGTTTTTTTTTTTTTGGATCAAGCAAAACAATAAAAACGTTTGTTTTCTATTTGGATTTTAGAAATCTCGTCTCACACGGAGCCCTAAAGTGTTCTGCAGAGTATTTGACAAAAATTTTGTCTGTAAGCCAAATTTGGATGTTTGAGTTCTAAAATAAAACAATGCAATATGTCTTTGTTGTACTTATTGTATATCCTGTGAAGCTCATCGTGGTTATTGAGAAATTTACTTCCTGGTTCCTGAGTCGAAGATATGAGAGAGAAAAATGTCAGGTTTGCATTCAAGCATTTAGAGGCATAAAGCAGCTACCAGTACATTTTTTTAAACAGCAGAAAATACCAACAACTTAGCATTATGGTTAAAAATGAATTTTTAAATATTGCTGATCACTGTGCATGTTGCAGCTCAGCTTTTCCATCACGTTATCAGCCGCTCTGCACTTTTGCATCAGTTTTAGTCTCAGCTGATTTTGGGCAGCTGCTTCGTCCGGATGAGAAAAGTCAGAGGCTGAACAAAGCTGCTCATGGAGAGAATCCAGTAGGCCACACAGGTGACAACTGAATAGGGCTTGAAAGAAGGGGGACCAAGCTGCCTCAGCAGGTATTCTCCAATGGGGGGGAGGTAGTGGACGTTGATTATGACCAGCGCAGACAGCACTATTTTGAATGCTCGCTTTTTAACTGGGTGGACCTCTTTTCTGCTGGGCCCTGACTGGCGGAGAGACTTAAGAATCATGGTGCTGCAGGTTGTTACGACCACAGTGGAAAAGCTTATGATTGCTAGTATCACATTCCACTTATACCCTGCAGAGACTTTGACCAGAAGGCAGCAAGCAGCAGTGATGGCACTCCCCATCAAGCATAACGACAGCCGCAGTCTGGGATCCTTGAGCCGCAGAAAGAACAGAGGATGGCAGACTGCTAGGTAGCTGTCCAAACTCAAAAAGCAAAGGAAAAGTGGCCCCCCTCCCTGGTTTAAACCCCACGCCAGGAAGCTAGTGGCCTCCATTGACTGATTAAACCAAAGATCAATGTATTCACCCACGATTGTGATACAGAACAGCATATCGATTACTGCCAGGTTCAGTGTGAAGATCTCTGAGGTAGAGCAAATACCAGGTTTGCCCAACAGGAGGTAAATGACCCAAGCATTAGTTGGCAGTCCTAGTGGTGGCACAGTCGCTACTGTGGGCAAGAAGTACCACAAAAATATTTCAGTTGCTGCCGTGAAGTTTCCCATGTGTCTGCGTTGAGATCTGTCAAAAACAGAAGATATTTTACAAATTGAAATTTCAACTAAATACTAAAAATAACTAAAACACAACACTGATACATTATTACCTTACAAAGTCTGAACAGCGTGAAATCCACCGGGCACTCGCTCCAGTTCCAAAAACCAAATCTTTCTACTCTAGACAGATAATGACTTCGACTCATCTAAACAAACACTGCTTCTTTATTTTGCATGTCACATCTTATGCCAGGTGCTGTTTTGCACACTTTGTTTCGTTTAAAGAAATGATGCAAATTCACTGTATCTGTCACGTATTTACCAGCTCTACTGTTATCATAGTTCTGTTTTCAGCTTCTCATTTGTTTAGGTGATGTGGTCTCCTGTGAGCTGAACAACAACACAGTTTGATTTAACCCACCGTTTGCTGAAATCTATTAACAAATAATCCTGATTAATTAGTAGAATCTAGACTTTTAACAGTCTTATACAGAACTGTGCAAAGTGTTGTTTATATTGTGCTATGAAAATGTGAAAATGTGATATTGGTGCAGTAATTTATAGATATATGTGCAAAGAACTGCAACAAGCAGTATGTAAGAAAAAAACTGAATTTGTACAATTTTAACAACCTTGTCAATATAATATATACCTTGCACCTTGAAATAAGAAGACATTTCTACAAATTGTAAGAATTCTTACATTTGCTTTACTTTTCAGAAATCCCTTTTTTTTCTCCAGAAGTCCATTAATTCAAGCTTGGACCAGTTTTATGACAAGCCACAGACAAATTCCTGACTGAAACCACACTCTTCATGGACATTCATTTTATTCATTTTAATATGCATTTTAATAGCATCATACAAAACTTCCTTCCTTATTAATGAAAGTGAAGGGCTGTTTTAAAGTTTGTCATCTCTATGGTTCTCTATGTTTTTGCTTAAAGATGTCATAAAAAAATCATCAGATTTTCCCAAATTAAAAAGATTACACTTCAATCAGCAATTTACAAGGTCATCCCAGGTTCCTTTGTGGCCTCCCAGCCTCCCTATTGGCGTGATCTCTTTTGGTCAATCACTACTGGGAGAGGTAGCAGTGGTCTTGAGTGGATTGTACACTGACTGTCAGACTGTAGATGTTGAGGGCCAGCCTCTTCAGAGACGGTTCTGTTAACCTTATTTTACACTGGCGAGCATCAGTAACTGTCTTTCCGATACTGAACATTCACATTAGTGTTTCAACATAACAGTCAGATATGACGTTAGCTTCTCTGTCATTAGGAGTCGAAGGATAATGTGCAAAAAATGTGTCAGCTGTACAGTTTGTACAGAGGTTGTCTAATAATTTTATGTTGGTATTACATAAAGGTAAACGATTGGCATATATGTCATATATTAGTTGAATATGTAAACATTAACAAACATATAGGATAGTTAATATAAACGAGTGTTTTTCATGGCTTTGCAGGCTCGTATTCCCTACAGCGTTACCCTTTTTAAACTTTGTACAGGCAGTTCAGTAACACCTTGCATTAGATTTCTCATTGATGCTTACCTTGCATCACCTGTTTACAGTGTACAGTTGCATCAGTGAGATGAATATTTCACTGCAGTTTTACTGTAGGTAAATTACCCATAGGAACAGACCTGGGATCAGCTTGCCTTATACACCCTATGAGTCATAAATGAAAAATATGAAAGCACAAACCTAGAGAGGCAGCTTGGTGCAACTATAAGACCAATGTCTTTATAATAATGCAACAGCTGGGAATATGTTATGCAGCTACACAACTTACAAATATCATGTTCACAGTACAAAGTAAGTTGAGTTGTTCACAGTACAAAGTAAGGTGAGTTGTTCAACAACTACAGACCCCTGATGGCACTGCATGTAGCCTGTATTTCATTTGTTTTTTTATCTCTGAAGCCCATATAAGTACTTTTTAATGGACACAATAACATTTCAATCTAGCTCAGCCAAAACAGGCTGTGCGTACGCTACATATCTGAGTTATCCAATCGCTGAAGCTGTCTCTGCATCACTGGCCAATCACAGCTTGACATGACATGATTTTGAAAAGACGTCGTAGATGTCGTCCAGATTGGCCAAACACAAAAGTGACGTTAGTCCTTGTGCAGCATGTTTATAAGTGAACTGCTGGTAATTATGGGAACATCCTGCAGTAAGTGGCGAAGACTAGGACCACAAGACAAATCAGAACCTTTTAAGGTAAGATATCTTTGTGTATGTTTCATCTTTAGATTTAGGCCATAAGCAATGACATTGGGCCACTGTGTGGAATCAAATAGCAATGAGTTCCTCCATGGCTCTATTATTTGGGTGCTAAATGTAAAATTAAAGTGTATAGCAAACGAAAAGTTTCAAGCATCAGAGTTTTTAATCAGGTTATGAAGGACATTATAAAGACTAATAGTTCTTGAAACAACACAATTCTCTGGTGCAAAAACATTTTGAAAAAGCAGATCTGTGGAATGGGCATGAACTTCCATCTATTTTTTTGTTGGCTGCTGGTTTTCAGCCTATTTTCTTTAAATACTGAACAGTAAAACCTAATTGGTCTTTCTAACAACTTTCCAGCTCCTTTGTTCTGCAATGTCCAACAACACTCTGAACACTGCCTACAATCATTCTGCAAACTCTACCAACCCCAGTGTGGTCCACGTTCGTCCGCTATGGTACGAGTTCCCAATATGCGCCGTGGCCCCTTATGGCTACATTTTCTACTATGGAGTCAAGGTGTTCAACCTGGCAGTAGGAACTCTGTGTAACATCTTGGTCATCTGGCAGATCATTACCAAGAAAAGTGACGCTTTCACATCTGACACCTTTATCCTCAATCTGGCCATACTGGACGCCTACTTCTGCCTCATGACTCCCGTCGACCTTGTCAACGGGTTATTGCTGAACAACAACGACATCTGGTACTTTAAGCGATTGGCATATGGAATCAAAGACTTGGCGCCACTCTTTCTGGTGAGTTTTTCATTTGTTGCACTAGTGTATCCGATGTTTTCAGATAGTTTGATGTGCGAAGAAGTCAGACCACTGGAGTGTTTTTTGTTTTGTTTTGTTGCTCTCCCAGTTCAATAAAAAGCTAAAGCTATAAAATTATTATTATCAATTTCATTATTTTTCAAAGCACCATGAAACACAGTGTTTCTTCTTGTCTAACAACCCAGGTGTGTATTTGTCTGGACCGCTACATGGCTGTGGTCCACCCCGTGCTCTTCGCTGGCATCCGTGACAACAAAATCCGCATCGGGATTTCTGTGCTGGTGTGGGCCCTCATATTGGCTTATGCCCTGGTGAAGTGCATCCTGGGACGCATGCCTGTCGATGGCGTCTTCAGTGGCATCATCCTTTTTGCGTTTGCATTGATGATCTTTTGTAACATCTCCATCATCTGGGCCCTTCGGCACTCTGTGACGGGAAAAGAGGTGATGCACCCGGTGAAGAAGAGGGCCTTCAAGATGGTGCTGATTAACCTGGCCATCATCGTGGTCAACTACCTGCCGCCCGTGGCGCTCATGCCGTTTGCGTCATACTACACGGCTGTGGCGTTTCAATGTCAGATCCGCGTCACTGTGTACTCCATCATGGATCTGAGCTGCAGCATTGAGCCTCTGCTCTACATCACAAAGATGGAGCGCGTGGAAGGCACATGCTGTGGAAAGAGTGTCTGTGAGAAGCCGCTTGATGTCACCACATAACTGAACCTCTAGTCATAAATCCATCACAAAAGCTTTTCAGAGAAGACCGTGCATGCACTGTTATATTTTTATTTGAAGAATTTTGTCCTGTGCGATCCGGAGAGCCGGTAAGAGAACAACGTCAAAGCTCTTGAGCTGGTGGACAAACCTAGCTTTAGTTAAAATGTAACCTAATTACTATCTTTTTCACTAGCTGTTATGTGGTTGTTATTCTTACTCCATGTATATGATAATTAGTAAATAGTTGCAATATCCAGAAGAAATACATAATCATACTACACGATTTTCAACAAACCACAATTTAGTAATTCCTTGAGTTAAAAGCAACTTTTTGAAAAACTGGAATAAGTTGCCTTATGCAGTTAGAGAATGGACTTCTATTCATAAGTTTTAAAAAAATATATGTGAAGAGGTGTTTTTTTTATATTTTAATCTCTTTTAAGCGTCTTTTTGGGGCTTTTTTCGGGGCTATCTTGTGTGTTTTTGGGGCGGGGGTCCTCTTCTTTTTCGCGCCCTCTGTGGTGTGGGTCTATAACCTCCCCTTTTCTCCTATCTGTTGTTTTCTTTTTTTTATTGTGATATTTATATGCTCATATTTTCACAATTGTAAAACCTTACTGTGGATGTAAGAGCCAAATTATGTAGATATTTTGCATCCACTTTATTGTGGAATATTTTATTTGATTGTATTTGATGGTTTGGGCCCCAGGAAGACTAGCAACCACTGTTGTGGAAGCTAATGGGGTTTACTTATAAACAAATAAACAGCATCCACCACAACCAGTTGTTTCTTATTCACACTTGTAGTTTGTGTTCTCATCTACTTATCCTCTGAAGGTTTATCGTAGTTATTGTTTGGAAACGATTGTGTTCTTTCATAAATCCTCATTTGCATTCAGTAGCAGAAGGCTAGTGTTTCAGGGGTTATATTGGCTAATGGGATAACAATTCAGCTATCCCAGGACTAGCTTATGAGCACCAAGGTAAGTGGAATTAAGAGGACCTACAGGTCTTTTATTATCATCACTTAGATTTGGCTTTGCCTCTAATGGAACTGTTGACATTTTACTTTTATGTAGTTAAGCTGTCTTTGTGTCAGGAATTTAAATTCAGGCTAAATTCTGCTCCTCACATACAAGGACTTGAATCATCAGGCCCCATGTACGTCATAGTACCATATCCCCCCAATAGAGCACTTCACTCTTAGACTTTGTTCCAAAGGCGATAGAGGCTTCATCTAGCAGGCATCTCTCCAGTGGAACCAACTCGTAGCCTGGATTCAGGAGACACAGCCTCTCTACATTTAAGATCCGACTTTAAAACATATAGTTAGGGCTGTCCTGTCTCCATCTGCTCTCTTCCCTTTCCCCTCACCCCCAGCTGCTCGAAGCTTATGGCTGCCCCTCCCTAAACCTGGTTATACTGGAGGTGTCTTTTCTTCCTACAGTTGCCAGGTGCAAATAGAAGCGATCGTTAAAGAAGTAAAAGAAGCTGTTGGCTAGTGAGCACACCAGACGAGTAAATAAGTTACTTTGAACCATGGAGATTACTCCTTGAAGACTTTAGCTAGCTCTCTGCTTTTTCCCCATTGCAACCAGCAGCAGAAACCCTCCTCATTAACTCATGAACATCTTTTGGACCATTATAATGACAGCCAGGGGCACTGCCTGTATTACAAAGCACCGATTAAGCACTTTATTAATTAAGTTATTAATTAAGTCTTACAACAGAATCACACAGAGGGACCAATTAGCAGATGTGCAATGAGCGAGCACACAGATTATGCAAGCAAACGAACTAAACACATAACAATCTAATTATTCAGGAACATAAATAGCACAGTGTAATGATGCATTGACATAACTGAGCTTTTTGTTCTGTATTTCTGAGGTAAACTGTACATGTTTGTGTACAGTGTGCAATGACACTGATGTTTTAATGTTAACATTGTTGGATTTTAAAGAATGTATTTAATACGTGATTTAGAGTAATTTGTAAACTTTAATCAGATATTTGATGTCTGAATCAAATGTTTGTCTTGCAAAAAATGAACAGAGTCACTTAGAAGTACTTAGATAACCAGCTCGGGTGTAGTCGTTCAGTCATGATTGTGCAAAGAGAATGGTGATTATTTGGTAAAAACAGTATCAGAGTCAGAATCAAAGAGCATTACATTTGACTGATTTTAGTGTGCATTATCTTCAGACTCTCTAAGCTGGCTTCAGGCCCATCTTCTGATGTCACATATCCCGGGTAAGTGGGGTAAAACTGGGGAGACGGTGGTTTATCTGGTTTATTTTCAACCGCCGACAATGGCGGCAGGAATAGTGGTATCAGCTTGGCATGAGCGTAGTCGATCTCAAAACCCTCAAAAATAAGCCCCACCCCCCAAGCGCCCAACCCATCCTCTAGGAGCCGCGACACCTTCTTGGCGGCCAGCACCAGTCTCTCGTAATCTTCTTTTTCCAGTCTGAATATATCAGAGGTCAAAGGTCGGCGTGGGACTAACACAGTGAATCCAGGGGAGTTGGGGAATGGAGTGAGAAAAGCCACATGACCTTTGTCCTCCCACACGCGCCACTGCTGCTCCTCACCACGAACAATACGTGAGAACAGCGAAGGGTGAGCCGGATCGTCCCCGAGGAAGGTCAGATCAGGGGGGGCATCAGGCAGCGGCAGTTTGGCTCGAATCCTGGTCTGGATTTCAGTCAGGCTGGAGTCACTCCATCGTGGGGCGGTCCTGGAAGTGCAGTATCCCGGGTCATGGGCGTTGTGCTCTTGTTCCCCAGCCAGATGAGGGCGCCACTCTGCGTCCAGCCCACACAGGGGGAGGATACGGATCTGTAGTGAAGACACGTGTGTTTGCTAACTGAAATTTACACAGAGGGAGCTGTCTACATGCGTTTACACATGCTGTTAAAATGCATCATCAGCCTTTCAGATTGCCACTGGTTACACTTTACAGTGAACAGGTCCGCCCAGTGTTCAGACCCCTCACCTGAGCAGGTCTATCTCTGTGGGGTCTGCTGACCAGCGCACACCTCCGAACTCCCAGCCTGTCACACAGCAGCTCTGCCACAGCTCTCGCCCCAAGCAGCCAGGACAAGTACTCTGGCTCCCCCAAGTGGAAAATGCTGCCTTCTTGGGTCCCGGGGGTGCTGCTCTCCAGGATGACAGAGCCCGGGGTCCAGGGCCGAGGGTGAAGGTAGGCTACCAGCCCATCTGACTCCCAGATGACGTGACGCTGAAGAGCGGACGACATGCTGAGGAAAGGGAAAGAGAGAAATATGAATCAGTTGTCTTTCTACTCATAGATGAAGTTTGCATCATTAAATAATCTTTCACATATAACATTTTCCTCATCTTTCAAGCCACAAAAACGCTCTTCCCAATAGTCTAAGATGAATTTAGTGAAAACTGCTGTTTCTGACTACACTACACATCTGACTCAGGCGCGCGTGCTGGGTATTGGAGCACGTGACCACTGTGAAATTTAGTCACTAAATTAAAACGCATGATTTTAATGGAGTCATCCTTTTAATCGTTTATGTTTAACTCTGTATCAGACAGCTGCATGCCATTTATAAAATAAATAAACAAACAAACAAAAACCCTGAAGTACTGTCTGTGTCGTGTCAGTAAGCGCCACGCTCGCTAAATTATTTCGTTAATGCAAATAAACGTTGTGCCGATAGAAACCTTTGACTCAAACAAACACGTATGAATGTTGTCACTTGTGCTGAGATATAAACATGTTCCTGGAATAAAACAACAGGTTTCAGAACAGAGTTTGGATTAACAGTCTGCCATTAACATGAATGTTTGCGTAACTTGAATCGACATACCTTCTAATAATACGCCTTGTGAATAAAGTTGTAGTAAAGAAGGGCATGCGGACAACACCGACCTGCCTTCTTCTTCTTCTCCTCTAAGCTGGTTGTCAAAGTTCATGTAATAAGCACAAACAGCGACGAAAGCAGCGGCAGCGGCAGCACTTAGCCACATCAGTCAGACGTGCCGACGATACGAAACTGGGACACTTGAAACCAACTTTTACACAATAAAGAAAAACACAAGAACTAGAACTCATCCATTTTCAGCTCATGCCTCAAACTTCCGCTCATCTGACAGGAGCGGCTTCTTCTTCTTTCACCTCTCTTAGTAGTTTCCAACAAATCGGCACAAATCGGCACATTACCGCCACCACCTGGAGACAGTTTGCAACAGCCCGTCTATCTATGACACCTGCTTCCTGACTCTTTCTGTAGTGCTGAGAGCACTTTTGTATGATGTCATTAAGATCCACATATACATATCTATATTTATCTTTTCTTCTTTGCTTTCTTTCAGCCCCATATTTCTAACAACGTAATATAATCAATGAATAAAGGGGTTATATTATTATATGAAAAATAAATAAAGCCCTAAAGTGAATAAGCAATGTCCTAGTGCTGAAGTACTGGACATTCTGTCTGCTATTTGTCCAGTTCAGGGCTAATACAGACACTGGCACCTATACTCAATTTAGTTTCACCAGTTAACCTAAGAGGCATGACTGCAGGAGGAAGCCACACAGACAGCATGCAAACACAGGTGTAAGGACCTTCTTAATATGAGGTGACATCACTAATGACCACACCACTGTGCTATCTGAGAGAAATCAGTATTTCAGTATTATCAGTAATTAATATATTGATGCGTAATTGAACTGCATTTTCAGCATTTATTAAATAAAAAGATGAAAAGTAAAAATGCTTTATCTGAGTCCAGCATCAATGCTAAAAGTGTGACTGAGACATAAGTGCTTGCAATAGTAAATGTGCAGCTTTGGCGAGAATGCTGCGGATCACACTTTGGGGTTCATTTTTAGCCTGCAGTCTAGCAGCTTCACATCTCTGTCGGCCTCAGAGCTTTAAAATAAATTAGTTTAACAGCAGCACTGTGTATTTTAATTTATTTTGTTGGTCAATAAAAAAAAAAGCATGTATACAAACATATGAACACTTTTGTGTAAAAATGAACAGAAAACTCTTTGCAGTGTTCTGGAACTTGCATACAGGGCTTGTTTGAGATGATCGAAGAATTCCACAAACATAACTTATACACGGGAGAAAATGTATGTAAATTCATGTAAAACAAATCAACTGTACTTGAGCTGAGAACATTTGAACTGTGTGAGGACATTTTTAATGGATGAGTCTGCAGACTCACGTTGCCTGAAGTGTTTTGTGATGTTATCACACAAAACAGTCTCGGTCGTTGTGTCCTTGGGCAAGACACTTCACCTACCGCCTACTGGTGTTGGCCAGAGGGGCCGATGGCGCGATATGGCAGCCTCGTCTCTGTCAGTCTGCCCCAGGGCAGCTGTGGCTACAACTGTAGCTTGCCTTCACCAGTGTATGAATGTGAGAGTGAATGAATAGTGGAACTGTAAAGCGCTTTGAGGGGTCCCGAAAAGCGCTATATAAATGCAATCCATTATTATTATCATGATCATTATATTATCACAAAATGTTACCAAAAAATAACTTCAAATTCAGAATTTTAATTAATACGTTATGTTTTCCAGGCCCTCCTTTGACTTATCCTTTTATTTTCTCCTAAGAGCTGTTACGTCTCTGACTTAAGGTCCTGTGACCTGTGCTCGCCCGATGAGTGTTGGTTTTCAACACAGACAGCAGAGGGCGCCAATGAAGCGCAGACAAATGTGAGTGCCTGATACACAAACACCACCACACACCACAGACATTTAAACTGCTTATAAACAGCAAAACTGTCTGCTATGGAAACACCTCTTTATCAGATCACACATCACAAGTGTGTTGACTTTCATTTCTGGCTTACTGCCAGCATTGTGAACTCACTTCCTCTTTCCGAGGAATGTCAGCAGACAAAAACCCACAGAGCACTTCTCGAAATACTGTCAGATGACTCATTCCACACTTACTATACACATACATGCCTTTACCAGCAACGAGAGGGCGGGTAGCGCTGTAGTCTCTGTGCGTGTATATATGTGTCATCGTGGTAAAAAGTACTACAACTAAAACATGGCCACGTGCTTCTTTGTCTCTATGAGTGACTCCGTGGCAACAGTACGAGGCGCAGTCACCAAACTTTAAGTGTGGATTAGAATTAAGGTTATGATTACAAAGTAATCCTAATTAAGTTCTAAATGAACTTGTTGGCATGGCAGTTGATAGGTGTCATGAGGATCCTCATTGAAATATTGGATTCCTAATCCCTAATCCAATCCCTTTTCATATCACCTACCACCTAACCCTAATCCTTAGTCTTAGCCTAACCCCCTAATCTTAATTCTGCCTTTAACCTTTAAGGGAAGTTTTAATGTTGAAAGAGTGATTTGAGGAAAGGAGGAGCAGACAAAAATATCACCACTCCCTCAAATGCCCTTTAAACCTTGTAAGGTTCCTCACAGACATGGACAAATCAAATCATAGATTACCGAATGTCTGCGTCTGGTAGTAAAAAGATTCCACTGAGCTTGAACTGCTCCATGTAAAAGTATAAAAAAGTGCACAAAAATTTAAAGGTAAAGCATGACTCTCTCATTCGATACAGTCACTGTAAAGCAGCTGTGGAGTGTGGTGGTATTATATGTTTCAGAGGTGTGCAAAATACAGTTCCCTCTGCTCTACTTCATACGGGAAGACTTTCATAAAGTTTGCATGTGGTTTCCTGTGATAGACACTGAGGCACGGTGAACAAATGTGTCGTCCCATTTTATGGAAGTAAATCTGTCCTAATCTGCACCCCGTGACCTCAGTAATGAGCTCAGCTGCTCGGGGATCCTCTGTGGGCATTGTCAGCTGAAGACCAGTACGATGAGTCACTAAGTCAGAAGGGGCAGAATTTAAAGCCTGAGTGAAACACCGAGGTGTAGCAGGAAAACACCAAAACAGTAGAAAATACTATATATGATGCAAGTTGGTTTTAAATGAACTCAGACTAAGTTTCTGCTGTATGTGTCACAGTTTCTTTTCTCGCTTCCTACAACAAGGCAGAGGTGTCAAAAAAAAAAGGAAATAAGCCAACAAAAATGCACTGGGGTCAGACGAGTGTTAAATCTTGAGGAGAAGCTGACATGAAAAAACTTCCAGTACATGAAGCAAAAACAGAGTTTGTAAAAATTCTAACAAGCCTGACAGTCAGTATTTAGTATGACCACCTTTATTCTTCAACACAGCCTGAGGTCTCTTGGGCAGCTTTCTTTTAATTAGTCTTTAGAAATAGTTCTCCAGGCTTCTGGAAGGACATTCAAAACTCTTCTTTGGATGTTGGCTGCCTTTTGTGCTTTTTTCTGTCAAGATGAAAAAACACGGTTTCAATTGTTTTATGGTCCAATCCAATGGCATTTTTCTGTGTTCATAATTCCCTTGATTTTGACAAGATTCCCAAATCACTGGGGGGCTGGAGCCTATCTTGGCATCTTAGGGAGAGATATGTCAGAGAGAACATGGAAACTCTACAAAAACAGACCCGGCCTGATGGTGGAACTCGAACTAAGGATCTTCTTGCTGTGTGGCAACGGTGCTAACCACCGTGCTGACATTCCTCAGCAAATGGTCAGGTACGAGGACTGGACTGAAAAAGTGTAAAAGCAGTCAGTGGCCAACAAAAGCTTTTGAACAGGCCTCAGAAATTCTGGAGAAATGTTGGTTAAGAGCACTTTAAACCATTACAAGAAAGTTCGGCTCCTTGGAAACTTAATATGGAGAAATGAGTGGTGGCTCAAGACTTTTGCACTGTACTGTTTTCAGTTGTAACTGCAATTTATTGACATGTTTAATGATTTACCCACATGTGGTTTGTGTGTTTATTCAGCTGTGTTGGTCCTGCTCACAAATGGCAGGAGCTAAAGCGTGAGGCTCCGTCACACGCAGTGTAGCTGCCACGCTACCAACTGTTTCCCCACTTCACAGTTAACATCCCATTTTTAATTTTGATGTAAATGTAAAAAATAGTCGGCTGCACTTTGTTATCATCGCGGCTTATATGCTGGAATTTTCTACCAAACCGTCACCAACTGTGCTTGTTTTGTGAGCAAAGGAACAACTTTAATACATTTTCCTGACATCACGAGTGGGAAAAAGCTGAACTCACTGTAGTGTGAGTCACTTTTATGGTAAAATAAACGAGTTAAATAAAACATTTCTGCAGAGTGTAGATCAGTGAGCTTTAAGATAATAAGATAAGATAAGTCTTTAGTGTGGGCCGTAAAAAATCTGACTACTTTTGAATTAAGAATTTGTAAATGTACAATAATAAAACAACATGGCAACTTCTTGTTTTCAAGCCAAGCAAAACTATATAACCTTAAGGTATAGATTTTACTTATGGTTATGTTACATGAATTTACAAAGTGGATACGGTGGCCCTGAGAGGTCAAATGCACTGCAACTTAAGAAAACACCAGCAAGTAGAAAAACATGAAAAACACAACAGAAGTTAAATAAGAAACAACAAAAGTAGGGTAAAAGGCCATAAAACACAATAAAAGTGTTTTTGGAGACACAAAATTTAATGGACCAGCTACACAGATACACAAAACATGTGGAGGACTGCATAGAGACACACTTAAAAAAAAAAAAAAAAAAAAAGCAGAGAATTAGTCTGTCTTGTGAGGTAATGCAGAGGTTGTTTTTTTTACCACTTTGGTTTATTGTGTATTTTTCTGTTTGTCAGTGTTTTCCTAGGATGCAGTGCATTTGTCCTCTTAGGATCCCCCCGTACACGAAGTGCCAAAAAGTGATTTTTATATATATATATATTTGTTTCAACAACAACAATAATTTAGTATAAATTCATCTATTCTTGCTGCTCTTGCCCTTCGCCACCATCACCTGTGCATACTGAAGGACAGCATTTAAAACTGCATGATGCACAGCTGCGCAGGAAGTGCTTCTGGCT